GTCCGGCGCGATCGGCGACCCGTAGCCGGCCCTGGGGTCACTGGACTGCGGCCGGCCGCTGCCGGACACCGCCGCGCTGGGACCGCCGCGGGTCACCGGGGACCCCGGGGCGGGCCGTGTGCCGTCAGGGCTCACCCCGCCGGGCCCGGCAGGTTGGGCCCGGGCCCGCATGGCTGGGCCCGGGCTCGTCTCGCGGCCCGGGCCTGAGTCGACGGGCTCTCCTGTGACGTCACGCCGCGCCGGGTCGTCCCGCGGCGCTGATGAGCCTCCGCCGGCCGGCTCGTTTGCCGCGCATTCCGAATGCAGCGCGCGTCGTTTTTGCCGCGCGGCCGGCCGGTGGGGGTCGCCTTTTTCCCGGCGCGCCCCGTGCAGCCGGGCGGCGTTTAGGCGCGGATTACGCGGCGGCGGCGGTGGTCCGCGCGGTCCGCGGTCTGGACCGGTGGTCCGCGGACGCCGCCGACGTCTTCATAGACCGCTGTCAGGCCGGACGGCCGGCGCGCCGAGGCGCCGGCCGGATTTGTATCGGACCTGGACGTTTTATTCCCAGATACCATCTGTGACGGGTGCATACCGCGCCCTGATGGATCTGGGGGCATCGACATGTTTGGCTATCGCCCGCTTGCATGCAGAATAATATGCTGTTAATCAAGGTCCGTACGGTTGGCGGCCGGCTCCAAATCCAGTAGCTGTTAGCTGTCAAGCGCTGGATCGATTTTTTATGTAGCCAGCGCGGCTCGAGCGTGCATACAGCCAGCCGGTAGCGACGTGACGTTTTGATTCACATGATAACTGTGCAAAACCTAGCTCAACGTGGCCGCTTGTCACTGCCTATCGGGTGCCGATCCTGGCCACGTACGGCCGCGGAAAGTCAGCACGCAGTGCGCGCGGCGAGCGCTGCAGCGGCGGCGGCGGCGGCTGCAGCGGCCGCCGCCGCCGCCCGGCCGCGTTGCGCAACGGTCGCGCGGCGCGGCCTTGTTTTGCACCAAAGGGGATCGCCATTAGCGCGGCGGGGGACGGCGCGTCTGCGGCGGCGGCGCGGCACGACCGCCGCGCCGCGCCGAGAAATATCGCCGCGCCGTAAAGCGGCCACTAAATTATATCGGGGCGCGAGTGCTACGTGAAAGGCCGGCGCGCCGCGTCGCCGCGCGGAATGCGCCGGCGAGCGGCCGGCCGCGTGCTCATCTCCATATCCCAATGCGATTATTTACGGGAGTGCGGCGGCGACGGCGTCCGCGCCGCCGCCGCTGCAGCGTAAATCGCGGCCGCTTAAATCGTGCATAGTTGTTTTGGAATCGCAGGTAATCTATTTGCTGCAAGTCACCGCGCCGGCTGCTCGTCCGGCTCATGCGCCGCGCGCCAACCGGAGGGACGCCTGGAATGCGAGAGAGAGCCGCGCGCCCAGAAAGAAGACCGATGAAGTATTCAAACCGCCGCCGGCCGCCGCCGCCATGACTTATGCCGCGCCAGACATCCGAAAGTGAAATTGCCCGTACTTGTAGCACGCGCTCGTTGCGTATGCGCCTCCGGTAGGAGCGTGACGAGTGCCATCGCCGACAGAGTACGATGTCAGGCCGACAACAGACCGCTCACGTTTTTGCTGCGGGTGGGTTGTTGTCGGCATGCATCACTGCCATCTGTCAGTCAAAATGGGAATCAGCCCGGCGCCTGGGCGCGGGGCCGGCCGGGGCTTGGCGATGCGCGCTGGGGCGGACCACCGGCGGGCTGGAGCCGGGGCAAAACATTCCCCACCGGTCAGGAGAGGGACCGGGGTGTTTGACAATTTCTGAGGTGCCGCGGTGACCCTCTGCAGGGTGTCAGGTCAGTCGCCGTCCACCCCCCCCCCCCCCTTCCCCCACCATCCACCACCAGCGGCCGCCGTGACGCCAACTGGTCGGCTTATTGAGAAGTGTCAAATTGCTCCGGTTCGGGTACGAGCCGCGCTGCACTGCAAGGCGGCCAGCCACGGTGATCTGGGCCTCTGTCACGTGGTCGGCCGCGCCTGTGGCCCCCGTTAACCCGCGCCCTCCCCTCCGCGCCGCGCCGCGCCGCGCCTTTCCTGGTCGTTTGCCCCCCGCGGGTGGGGGTGTGGGAGGTGAGAGGGGGGGGGGGGGGGGCAGCAGACCGGCAGAACGCCCTCCGTGGGGTCGCGAACGGAGCCATGTTGTCTGTCGCGGCTGCCGGCCGGGTAATGTATGCGGCATTGTGCGCTCGAGAACCATTTACATAGCGGCGGACAGTGGTCACGGCGGTGGAGACACGGCGACAAAACGTTAACCGGCGCTGGTCGGCTATCCGGGCATCGACACGGCCAGCCGACCAGGGCGGTCTGCCCCTCTGACCACTCACTCAAGCGCCCCAGGCGGAGGAGGTCTATCGGGCTCAACGGGCCGGGACAGAGCCTACGTTGCCGGCACGAAGGGTGGCGTTCATCACAGGGCTCAACCGCCTCGGCCTGCCCACAGACTCGTGTGCCCTTGGTGTGGTTTTGGGGAGCGGAGGTAGGCTATGGCTCCCGAAGTGTTCATAGCACGTCAGATTGGCATAATCCCCTCCGGTGTTTGCATGCTGTAGCGTCGGAACAGCACGCGCTGCATTCCTGAAAAAGCGAAAGTTTCAGCGAGGCCAGCCCCTCCCTCTGATGAGACTCCTGACTTTCGGCTCGGTGCGATTACAATGACCCGGAGAGTCGGGCCTCTACGACCGGCCCGCGAAGTGTCATGACGCTGTTGTGGGAGCCGGAAGGGGAGGGGGGCAGCCCCCCCCCCCCCCAGCTGGCGGCAGGCGACACGGTCGCAGCGGAGCGTTACGGTGACGGCCGGCGTTTGTCAGTGCCGCTGACGGCTCTCGAGGCGTCACGGACCGGGCCGAGGGAGGTCGCGTCGGCGGCACCAGGGAGCCGCGGTGTCACGGGGTCTTGTCTCGCGGCATGAGACGCGATGCGCACTTCTGTAAGTTTTAGCGCTAACGACCCGACTCGCTGCCAGGGCGTTCGCGCTGGTCGAAGATGGTGACGACCTGCAGCGTACGTACGTTTCAAAGAATGAGGGTGCCAGACACACTCATGGTCAGTGGTGCGGCCGTGGGATGGGGGGAGGGGGGGGGGGGCTCGTGGAGCTTAAGCACCCTCTCTTCTTCTCCTTCTTCACCTTTTCCCCCGTCAGGTTCGAGTGCAGTTTTTTTTGCCATGGCACTACCGAATAAAATTCCGGAATCTGGCGATCAGGGCAACTATTTTGGTTTTAAATTTCTTGGACACTACCACAGAAGCGACACGTGGGCCAACAGCCTTAATGTGATAACAAGGCTAGGATGGCCGAGTGAGCACGGAACGCAGCTGAGCATCTGTTTAAAGCACCAGAGTAAACCAGCATCGATAGCTCATTGATACACTAGGTCCTGCACCTGTTAGCGTTCGTATAGTCTGTTCGCAGTGCGCAGACAGGTTTTGTCAATTGGCCTGAGATTCGCTCGTAAAGAATAGCCCTCCGTCGTAAATCATGGTATCCCCCCCCCGCAAATTCTGACTGCGGCCCTGTTCATGGTGCCGATTTTCTGGATGCGATGGCTATAGGACAGATGCTAAAGATCCTGCAAAAAGCACGCGGATTTGATGCCCGCTTGGCCCTCTGCTTATATTCCTATGACGTTAATACAGCCTTTACAATGACCGCTGTTTTATGAGCGTCGTCTTTCATGCTCCGGGCCGCGTAAAGCTGCAGCCCCGCATTCTCCTCTGTCCGCTGCAGGTGGGCTGCCGTCGGACAGGATATAGGGGGGGGGGGGATATAGGAGGGGGGGGGGGACGTCCGGCGGGTTCCACCGATGGCCAGATTAAAAGGCATAGTAACCGGCCCCGCGCTTCTCAGAGGCCGAACTCGGCCCAAAGTTCGCCACCAACGGTCAGAGGGAGATCAGACGCGCGCAAAGCCGGCACATTCAGCCTGGAATGAATTCCTTTCTCAGTGGTCCGAGCCAACGACTTCAGACAAGGTGTCGCCTAACTGCTGCCTTGTTTCTGCTGAGTCGGTGTCCAACTGGCGCCGAGCTGGCACCGAGCTGGCGCCGAGCTGGCGCCGAGCTGGTGCCAAGCTGGTGCCAAGCTGGTGTCTAGCTGGTGCCGAGCTGGCGCCCAGCTGGCGTCGAGCTGGCGCCGAGCTGGTACCGAGCTGGTACCGATGGCGGCCCCCGTCGGCGGCCCTCTCTAAAACCCAGCCTGGCGTCTGGTGGCGCATCACCTGCCCCTCGAGATACAGTCCTCCCGTCCTCCGGCCGCGAACCGGGCCCCGCGCTGCATCAGGGTGGCACCCGCCGACGGCACCCTCAGTGGGCGCACCGCTGATCTGCGGCTCGGCCGGCCGGCGCGCACACGCCGTATTTTTCATCTGGCCGGCCGTTGATGGCGTCGTCTCGATAATGGCGGCATTCACGGCCGGTCGGCGCGGGCGGCAGGGTATTCAGCGGGCATGCTGGCCGGCTCTGGGCGCCGGACGCGCCCGGATCAACAGGTAATGGCCGGCCCGGGAACAGCCGCGGGCCGTGCCGAGATGACGTGCTGGGAGGACCGTGCCGGGGGGACGTAGCGGGGAGGACGCGCCGGGAGAACGTGCCGGGAGGCTGGGAAATGCAAAGAGGGGTTCATATGCAGCTCCAGGTGGACAAGAGAGGCTTCTTTGATGCTCAAAGCAGACGAGCTGGGGGGACGGAGAGAACGCGCGGGCGTGGGACGACGTGCTGGCCTGCCCAGCTGGGAGGACTGGGTGCTGGGAGGACTGGGTGCTGGGAGGACTGGGCGCTGGGGGGACTGGGTGCTGGGGGGACTGGGTGCTGGGAGGACTGGGTGCTGGGAGGACGTTTCTGGTGGGTACAAGACACGCCGATGGGTCACACTCCAAATCGTGCCGCGCCGCAGGCGGGCCTCGATAACAGCGACGTCTGACCACTGGCCATACCCGCGATACCGGGGACACCCTTCCACTCCTTTTCAGCATCGCTTACCCGCGATGTCGGCGACCCCCCACCCCTTTCTAGCATCGCTTGCCCGCGATGCCGGGGACACCTTCTCACACGTTTCTAGCATCGCTTACCCGCGATGCCGGCGACACCCTCCCACCCCTTTCCTAGCGCTGTTCACCGTCAACCGCCTTGTGCAGTACATATCTCGCCGCCGGCGGGACTCGAACTCGCGTCGCTCACCTCGGTGTCCGGTGTTTCAGCGGCCGCCGTCGTCATCGCTCTCGTTCAGCGGCCAGGGCAACGAGGACGTGCGATCGCCAGGCTCTGGCGGCACGCCCGGTCCCCTTAGCCACCCCCCTGCCTCGACCCAGAGCGCAGACAACGGCAGCGAAGCAGGTACGTCCCGGTGACTTCAAGGTGGTGTCACGCCATGCGGAGCGGTGCACCGCTAACGCGCCATGACCGTCTTAACGCGGCCGGGCCACCACGCGCCGACAGATTACGTTGCATGTCATGTCCACGCCGTCGGAATTGCCAGATAACATACTGGTTAATCTTGGGACATTTGCTTAATCATCACTTCAGCGCTAGTGCGTGTCAAATCAGAACATGACAGGCTGTGACCGAGCCGGCGGCTAAACAGCTTGGTAATGTTTGACAGCCGCCTCTTTTTACGTCCATCTTGACTGCTAGAGCAAGATATATCGCGAACAGGTAGAACTAGATCACATCAGAACAGACACATTAATGGGTGCACAAGTAACTGGTGATAAGTAAGCTAGGACATATTTTATGTGCTGTAATTCCCCTGAAATGCTTGCACAACTTCTGACGGTCGCAAACAACATATTGACTGAGTGGAATGCCGCAATGCGTTTAGTAAAATGGTAAGCTTATACGGATGAAAAGCCTGATCAGTTCAGTCTGATTAAAAAATGAGAGATACTCCGTCGATCGTCACGAGTTTTGCAATGAATTAATGTTGCACAAATCTACAACATCGATAATGGCGGAGCAAATCATTTGACATAACGTGGTGAGGGGATGTGACCACTCAAGTGCACCGCGGATTGCTGAAATATGCTTTTGGCGAATCATCGAACTGCTATCTCCATTTAATTTTCAAAGACGTACGTCATTCGTCTTTTCGCTGGAAAGTGACCACCTTCCCTGTCCGTTCCGCACGGTCTCAGTGCACTGGCTCTCGCCGCATCGCCAGTATCGTCATCTCACTGCGCTGCCCCCCCCCCCCCCTTCCCCCCCGCCTCCACGTACCTGGCTGTCGGCCGGGCGTCGCCTCGGGACGGGTCGCCCCAGGCCAACCCGCGGCCGGACCAGCCGCACGTTTGCGCCCGCCTCGGGGGCCCACTGCGCCCTCCCCCCCCCCCCGTGTCACGCCGCCCCAGCCGCACGTGCGCGGCCGTCTCGGGGGCCGACTGCGCCGCGGTCCGCTGTGACGGCGCCGCAGCCCGCCTGTTTGGCCTGTTTGGTCGCCGCGACCCTGAGAGGCGGCTCAGCCCTCGGCTCCCTGCAGTTGTTATTTACGCACGCCGACGCGCCGGCCGTACTGCGCATGCGCGACGGCACACCTTTTTGTAATGAAGTCGTACGGGAGAAGTGGTACGCCATCAAAGCCAATATTTGATGAATAAATCAGGTGAATGTCGTACCCGGAGCCGGCATTCGCGTTTTTGCTAGCTCAAAAATGCTAATGATTGCTTTTATGTCGTCTGTAATTGCCCTTTTAATGAGATCAGAAGACTCATATATGTCATGCGGGTGTCACAAGCTTTAGCTCGGATACGCTGACACTGGGATTTACGGTTAAGCGACATATTTGCGGAATGTCTGTGGTTCATTGTAGCATGTGCTGAACCTTTTGGCAGCACTTGAGCGATGATTGTGCACGAGCCACTACTTCGGCCGGCAAATTCCACATCCAGTTGGTGACGCAGAATCCTGTTTCCCGTTTGCAAATTTGAGGAGTAGTGCATGCAAGCACAGCATGTGTGCGCACTGCGGCGGCGTGTTTTCGAGTCCTCAAATAAGTGCGTTATCTGATTTGAAGGGATTTTCTTATGTGGAGAGCAAGGAATGCAGTAAACTGTGGCGCCCTTGGTTTTCAGCGATGTCACATTAATGCGGGGTGCCGTTTAATCAAATTCATTACCAGCCATTTTTAGCTGGGTTGATTCGACTGGCCTCTGTTTTGTTGTTTTGTGAAATAGGCTGCTGGTTCTAGCAGTTTTTGACATAGCGGCGTATCGGCTCGAGTAAACACCAGTGCTACTGTTTCTTTTCTCGCTACGGACGCTGATTGTTTTAGGCCCCCACAAAGGGCTGTCTGAAAACTGATCCCTTGCTAGCAACTCTCTCTTTCTTCTGTCCCCTCACTGATTCGCCTACTTATCGGTAATTTGATAACGTTTTAGTCTGTGCTGATCCACCCCAAACACGGGATTATGCAGATTGGCGCACAAAATGCGGCCTAATTTTATTAGTTGGCTGAGTGCAACAGAATCGGCTGGAAGCACGCGCGTAATGCCGTCTCCACGGGCCGCGTGCGGTCCCACGGCGCGGTCGCCGGAGCTCCGCCGCGCGGTGCGCAGCGAGTCAGTCCACACCATGCGGCTCGCTGCCGGCGCGGTGCGCGCGATGCGCAGGTTTCGCCGCGGCTCAGCTGACCTTTCAGATGCAAACCAGTCGCGCCGCCCGCTGCGGATTAGGTTTTTGCGACGATTCTGCCGTCGGAGATCCGTCGGGCGCGTGAGAAAGCGAGCCGCGCCGGCCGCCGGCACTTAGCAGCGGCTTGCCGTGCGGTGCGGCGACTTTTTGCCCGGCGCCGCCGTTTGGGAATGTTTCGGCCATATTCCCCATTGTGCAGCGCGCTTTTGATCCGCGTCGAGGGCCGGCGAGCCGCTTCCGAGCGGCCGGGTTCCAATGGGCGCGCTCTGTTTTCAAATGCCGGTCCGCTCCCTCATTTCGCCGCATTTTCCTGACGATTTCATCCGGGAAATGCCGCGCGTCGGGCTCGATGTGATGAACCAGAAAGTCATGCGGCGCTATCGTGGGCCGCAGGCAGCCCGCCGACTCGGCGCACCTCTAATTGCCGTTTGACGCGGCCGGCCGGTCGTGACGCGACGGCTGTCCTTTGTGCGAGCGCGCGGAGCTCGGTGACGACCGAACGCTCCCAGGTCGTTCGGCATTCCTCAGAGACGAGCGGAGAGCGGCCGCTACCTAGGTGGTCCGTGCAGGACGGGCGCCGCCGCCCCGCCACGGCACGGCCAGTCCGAGCTGTCCGACCACGCAAGGCTCCCTGTTGTGCACTAACTAGTCCATTCTGCCCGCTCTACCTAATCTCATTTACTTGGCAAAGACGACGCCCGGCGGGGGGCGCGACCCGGCCAGGCTTTTTTCGCCGCTCGGCCGCGCCGACCCCGCCGCGCCGTCACGGGAAAGGGGTGGCCATTTTTTGTCCGTCGCGATCTGATTTCTAAAGGGCGGGGGGTCGGTCAAATTTCCGTGTCGGCTTCTCGTGTGTGTCGGATGCTGACTTTTGGGCTTTGTCATTTAATGCGGGCCTGCCACGGTCGAAATAGAGCGTCCCTTGTGCCGCCCGGAAAAGAATGCGCCCGCGATGGGAAAATCGGAGCGGTCCCGACCCGACATCGCCCACTGAATGAGGCCACTTTTTCGGGGCGCGTGCAACGCGGCGGCGCCGGCCGTCGGCGCTGATGACTGAATAAGGAGACAACACGCGGGACGCGCGAACTGACATCTGTCGGCTACACTGTCAATCACTCATTAGTGCCCGTTCTGTCCCCGGCCCGCCGCGGCCCCCTCTCTGGGAACCCGCGCGGGTCAAACGCGCCATTGTGCTTGACGCTCCCGGGCGCCTGGCCGACGTGGATCCCGCGCCCTGCGAGCGTGTAAGGCACGCACTTGATGGCAATCATGCGGGGATTGGACGGTGCTCCACTGAAAGAGCTCGCACCTCGGAGACGGCGTTATCGGGCGACATCGTCGCGCCTGCTCCCCCCAGCACCCCTTCCCCGACACCCGCTCCCGCCGCCGCCGGTACAGATCCCGGCGCTCAACCCTAATTGCCATTGAGTTTGCGCGCTCGCTCACAACTGGAGGGCCCTCGAGCCGGTTGGAGAGCGCGACGAGCGTGTTGTCCGCGCCGCCGTGAATGATCCAAACCGATCTCCATTATGCCGGCGCCGGAGCGCGCGGTCGCCGCGGAACCGCGCACAAAACGTCGCGCCGCGCGGCAACAAACAGCGCGCCGCGAGTGCCGCCGCGCGCCACGAGTGTCCGTTGTCGGACGGCAGAAGACGAGGCGGCGCCGACCCGACCGACCCTGCCGGCCGCTGAGTCACGTGACAGGAACGCAGCGCTGATCGGTCGGCGTGAGCCGGCGGCGGCGGCGGCGCCGGGCCCGGTGCGCAGGCAGCTGTTTCCGGAGCGGTGAGCCCGCGGGCATCGGACGCGCGGTCGCCCCACTGACCCCTGACCCCTGTCGTCGCCGGGTCAGCCGTGGCGGTGGCGGCGGCCCGCCAGAGTGCGGACAATACCGCTCCTGATTGTCGGCCGCCGCAGAACGGGTGCCAGGTCCCTGACCCTCCCCCTCCCCCCCCCCGGGGACTGCGGGGCAGATGTCGACTGGCGATTGACAGAAGTCAGCCAATGGTGGTCGAGACGGCATCTGGGTCATATAGTCAACACATTACAATGCCGGTACAATGGGCTTTCAAGGCGGCCGGGACCGGTGGCGCGCCGTGTATAATCGGGTTTTGTGCGCGGGCTAAATTCCCATGATTTGAACGGCGCCTATCGGCAGGATTAACTCGATCGGCCAAACATGTTTGTAGGGGCGCTGAACGGGCCGAACGGCAGACGCCGCCGAGAGAGGGGTGCCGCTGGGACCGCTCCCCGCGCTAGCCTGCCAGGAGGCAGCGCCTAGGGCCGCGCCCGCCTGCGAAAGGCCAACGACTCCCCACCCGTGCAGCAATGATCGCGAGCCAGCGCGAGGGTGATTTCTTCGGCGGACGACAAATGAAAATGTCATTTCGGCGACAAATACCGTCATCAGGGCGCGCGGCCCGCGGTGGGCTGGACAAATGAAGCCTGCGCCTGACAGTCAGATTGTCATGACAAACGGCGGCTGTCGTCACAGGCGCGCGCCGTCGGCGGCCGACGCCAGCCACCGGTCGCGCCGCTGGCCGGCTCACCTGGCGGCCGCGCGCGGAGGAAGTCACAACTCACCGGCCCCGGCGGCGCGGCGTTGCCGTGCACACATGGCAGGCGGCTCGCCGGGCGGGCGCGCCGCTGATGGGCTGGTGCGTCGCCGACCGCGGCGGCAGGCAGCACACCGCGGGGCGTCGCCGCCGGCA